AGGTGACTAACAGCCACTCAGCGGAGCGGAGGAAGCCCCACTCCTGGTGGGGGTCCAGGAGATCCGAGGGCCCGGAGCTACAGATCCCGTCGGGGAAAGATAGGGCGGCTGAGGACGAGGAGGAGGAGGGAGACGAAGGGGAGGACGCAGACCCCGAGGCAGAGGAGCCGCTGTGGGCGAGCCGAGCAGTGAACGGCAGCCGGCTTCTTCCTTACAGCTGCAGAGAAAACTATTCGGACTCGGAGGAAGAGGAGGATGACGACGTGGCCTCCACCAGACAGGTACAAAAGGATGACTCCCTTTCCCGGCATCGGCCCAGACGCAGCCATAGTAAGGCTGCCTCCCCTTTGACTGCTAAATCTGCCGGCAGCCGGCTGGAGACCTCAGTTCAAGGAGGGGGAGGACTTGCGATGAATGACAGGGCGGCGGCTGCAGGGAGTCTAGACTGGAGTCGGAACCTCGAAGAGGCAGCGGCGGAGCAAGGAGGTGGGTGCGATCAAGTGGACTCCAGCCCCATTCCTAGATACCGTGTTAGCTCAAAGAAACTGGCCCCCCTCCTGACCCCGCCGCTTCCCGACTTGGACTCAACCTTGGATTCGTCTACAGGCTCCCTTCTTAAAAGTAACAATCACATCGGCGGCGGCGGGGCCTTCGGTGTGGACTCCCCCAGGACTTATTCCAACAGCCTCCCTCCCAGTGCTGGAGCCGCCCCTAGTGCACTCAGGATCAATCACGCCAACCATACGGGCTCCAATCATACCTACCTGAAAAACACATATAACAAACAGAAACTTTCCGAACCAGAGGAGGAACTTCTCCAGCAGTTTAAACGGGAGGAGGTTTCCCTACCAGGAAGTTTCAGTGCACACTACTTGTCCATGGTTCTCCTAACTGCTGCCTGCTTATTTTTCCTAATACTGGGACTGACTTACCTAGGGATGAGAGGGACAGGAGTATCCGAGGATGGAGGACTCAGTAAGTATTAAATCCTATGGGTAATGTAGTAAGTGATCTGCTTTAGTTGCATGTAGCACTTTACATGAGGTGACTTATCTGCAAGAACATAGTTTTAACAAGGAAATACAACAGAATGAATATATCATCTTTAAGAAAGAACATTACCATTATCAGATTGGTAGTTTTTATGGTTGGTTTTAAAATTTTCTTGTATGGTGTGAAATTCAAAGCAAATATTACCAAAATGTATTTGTGTGTGACTTAACTGTCTTTTAGCCTTAAATATTTGTGCAGTTGCCAGTTACTCGGGGGTCTAGAAGTATTACCTTTATTCGGAAATGTTATGAGTATTTTTTTCAAGTTGACCTGTGATTCTAAAAGGCAGTATAATACCTTTTGAAGTCCAAGTTAAATATTTTATAGAATGACTATATGTGTAGGTAGTTTTGTCATTTATTTGAAGAAAATGAATATTTTAAAAGCAGTAAGGAATATCTCTTAATTGATTTCCAGCCCAAAGCACCTCCCCTCCCAACTGTGAAAACAGTAGTTATCACTATGATAAGCCAGTTCAGGAGCTTGCATTAAAATTTATTTGGATTGGTTTCTAGGCCTTGCCATTTATTTACTTGCTGAATGACTGTAGGCAGGCGTGTTCATTCATTCATTAAACCAGCATCTTATATACACAACGAGGATACATTAATAAGTCCATTTATTCCTCCTTAAGCACATATATAAAAATAAATACAGAACATATATTTTGTGGAGGAAAAAGGATAGGGTAAGTGATGTGTACTACTTTAGATTGGATGGTCAGAATAGGTGTACTATTTGAGGTGAGACTTGGAACTGGAGAAGATGGCCTTGTAAAGAGACTGTGGCATTCTTGGCAGACATTACCAGAAGAGGAAAGGCCTTGAATTGAGTAAGAGCCTTCCTTCCTGTAGGGGAGAATGCTTAGATCTTTCCTTTCCTAATCTATAGAATGATGCTAACACTGCCTAGGATAATGCTTGTGAAGATTAAAAGAAAGTAATTAGTGTATAATGAATTGATGAATACATGTTTTGCAGTGTTAGGCCCTCCCCCATTTTTTCCTGAGGATTTTCTGTTCTTCCAACAAGAATTCACTCTGTCATGGTTTGGCTCATTATGTCATTTTATTTCAGAATAGATTGAAAATTGCAGTTAACTGATGCAGAATAGTGTAAGCTTTGATTTAGTTACAACTAATTCCAAGATAAATAATAGATTACAATATTGCTTAATTTACAAGGGTTGAAGAGAAGTGAAATCAAGCTCTTAACTTTAATTGCTTCATTGGGAATTTCTGTCTTATATCCTGTCCCAAATATTTGGGTGGAAAAATTAAAGGGCATGCTGAACATTAAACAGTTCACATAAATGGCTTTACCTGTCACCAGTACCTACCAGCATCCCTTGTCTATGTGATCTGCTCGTTTCCTAAGAGCGCAGTGCTTTTCACATATTATCTCATTTAGTCTTCCTAGCAGCTCACAGAGAGTGGTGATGTTATCCTTATTTTATGGTTAATGATGAGATTAAGTTAATAAAAGTATCCATGGGTGTACAGTTAATGAGTAGTAGGACTAAGATTTAATTTCCCATTAATAGCTTGTTTCTTTTTTTTTTTTTTTTTTAAATTTTATTGAGATTATTGGTACATTTTAGGGATACAGTACAGTTACATTCATTGTTGGGATCATGTACCTCTACATGGCAAGTCTTGATTCTCATTTTTTCCCCTTACCTCTGCCCTCCCTTCACCCCCTCCTCCCCTCCTCGTCTACAAACACTTTATTTTCATCTTTTCATTCTCTCACATTTTTTTCTTTTCCCTTTTTGTTCTTCCCCTACGCATCACACCTTCCCTACACATTTAGCTCCTTTCTTCAAATTTCTAAATGTCAGTAATCTTATTAGAATCTTATGCATTGTTGCAGTATATTCACACCAGGGAAACTATTTGGTATTTACACATGTGTGACTTATTTATTTCACTTAGGAGTATATCTTCAATATGTATCCATTTTCCTATGAATGAATCTATTCTCTCGCTCTTTATGGCTGAGTAATATTCCATTTTATAGAAAAACCACAACTTCTTTATCCAGTTTCCAACGGATGGGCAAATAGGTTGTTTCCAAGATTTAGCTATTACAAACTGTGCCGCTATAAACATGGGTGCACATACTTCTCTGTGATATGATTCTTTTAGTTCTCTTGGAAAGATACCCAACAGAGGGATGGCTGGGTCAAATGGAACCTCCAGTCCAAGCTCTTTGAGGTATCTCCATATTGATTTCCATAGTGGTTGCACTAGTCTGCACTCCCACCAACAATGGAGGAGGGTTCCTTTCTCCCCACAACCCCGCCAACATTTGTTATTGTGTGATTTCTTGATAGCAGCCATTCTTTGTGGGGTGAGGTGGAATCTCAGTGTTGTTTTCATCTGCATCTCTCGAATGACCAGTGATGTGGAACATTTTTTCATATATTTTCTTGCTGCTTTCACTTCTTTGTATGAGAAATGTCTGTTCATTTCGGATGCCCATTTTTGGATCGGGTCTTTATATTTGGGGGGACTGATTGTTTTGAGTTCTTTATATATCCTTGATAATAGTCCTTTGTCTGAGGTACAGCTGGTAAAAATTTTTTCCCACATTGTAGATTGTCTCTTAGTTCTGCTAATGGTTTCTTTTGAAGTACAGAAGCTTTTTAGTAAGATGAGATCCCAGTTGTTGATTCTTTCTGCTAGTTCCCGTGCTACTGAGGATTTGTTCATAAAGTCTTTTCCTATACCAATGTCTTCCAGAGTTCTGCCTAACTTACTTTCCAGCAAGTTTAATGTTTCTGTTTTAATATTTAGATCTTTAATCCATTTGGATTTTAATTTAGTGCATGGCGAAAGATAAGGGTCTAATTTTAATCTGTGACAGGTTGATATCCAGTTTTTCCAACACCATTTATTAAAGAGGCTATCTTTCCTCCACTGAGGATGGTGAGCTCCTTTGTCGAAGATGAGGTAGCTGAGTACATCTGCATTTGTTTTTGTGTCTTCCAGTCTGTTCCACTGATCCTCAGGCCTATTTCTTTGCCAGTACCATGCTGTTTTTATCACAGTGGCTTTGTAGTATAGTTTCAAATTGGGAATTGTTACACCTGGTGCCATGTGACTGTTGCCTATAATGGCTTTTGCTATTCTAGGTCTCTTGTGGTTCCAAATGAATTTTTGGATTCTTTTTTCTAGTTCTGTGAAATATAGTGTTGGAATTTCAATTGGCATTGCATTGAATGTATATAGCAGTTTTGGTAGTATGGCCATTTTCACTATGTTGATTCTTCCTACCCAGGAGCAGGGGACATCTTTCCATTTTTTTATATTCTCTTCGATTTCTTTTTTCAGAGTGCTGTAGTTTTCAGTGTAGAGATCTTTTGTTTCTTTTGTTAGATTGATTCCTAGATACTTCATTTTTTTGGATGCTATTGTAAAAGGAATTTTTTCCCTTATTTCTCTTTCCGTCTGTCATTTGTGTATAGAAAGGCTATAATAGCTTGTTTCTTAACACTATTTTGTATATCATTTGTGGAGAGCTTTCTAGATGAGGGGGTACCTTTATTATGATTAAGAAAATAACATTTGGTAGGCGTTCATACAGAACTACTGTTGAGCACAATTCTCAGTTCACATCTTTTTCATCAATATTAAGATGAGTAATTAATATTATATGTAAAATTTCAAGTAGAATTGGATGGGAAGAAATGTTGGTATTCTTCTCACCTTCATGTAAGTAGCGCGGAAGAGATCATAAAGCATTTTAGATTTTAGCAAATGGAAAATGTGAAGTAGCCTGGATAATGGGAAAAAAATGACTACAGGGTTAAGATGAAGGTGCTTTGATTTATTTGATGATTTAGGCCACACTCTGAGCTTCATTCTTACATGCTAAATGGGAGTAAAATATCTGCTGTCCTTCGACTTGCTATGAGAATGAGATAGTTTTGCAAAAAATTTAAGGTGCTATTATTTATAAGTTCAGATGAAATTTGGTCTATTTCTGGAAATGTTTAAGTCATTTTCTGTAATTGATATTTGTAGTGCATTTTCTAGTTATTTAACATTTAGTTTTTATTCCATTAAATACTCATTGTAGAAATTCAGGCAGAAATTTCAAATCAAAGTAAAAATGTGTACTTAAATGTTTGGTATACTTGACATGTGTACCCTGGTGAAAAGAAGTATATGCTAGTTCAGTTAGTCTGGTCACCTGATGGTGTTAAGGTTTCAAAGTGACTAATTTGTACTCCCTATATTTTTGTATTCTGAATCCTTTGTAATATTATGATGCTTAACCCCCAAACAGAAAGTAGAATAGATTGTCTGTTTTAAACTCCTAGCCATTATTTTATAAAGGGCATGACTTATATAGAAAATGTGAATAGAAATGAGTGGGGCTGGGGATTTAGCTCAGCGGTTCGGTGACCTGCCTTGCAAGCTCAAGGACCCGAGTTCAATCCCCGGTACCAAAAAAAACAAAAAACAAAAAACAGAAATGAGTGGGTATTATATGTGGGTATATATATATTCTTTGGTCAAATAATGGGCCTAAGGAAGTAGTTTTACTTTGAGTAATAATTTCACCAGAAGATTGTAGGTTATAGGTGACAGTCAACTCTCATTAGTTATTATTTAAATTATGTACAGTGTAAATTAGTCTTTAAAATTGTTCTTAATCATTTAATCTTTGGCTTTTTTATCAACCTATTTTTATTAGATTACTTTTACTATTTATTAAATTATTGCTTTTAGATCTAAAAAAGTAGAGGTTGGATTTTTAAGCATTTTCCTATTTGAAGGTTTAGGATTTTGACTTAGAACTATCAAATCAACTTGAGGATCATCCTGCACTCAGATTGTTCCATAGGTGATTAGATCATAACAGTACATGCACACACACATACACCCATACCCAAAATAGAAAACAGACTGGATT